TGTATCTGACTTTACACCATTTTCTTCTTTTTAAGATTTTATTTGATTTTATTTTAAAGATTTATTTATGAGAAAGAGAGAGCACGCAAAAGTGGGAGGAGCAGAGGGGGGAAAGAGAGAATCTCAAGCAGACTCCAAGCGGAGAACAGAGCCCTACTCGGGGCTTGGTCCCATGACCCCAAGATCATGACCTGAGCCAAAACCAATAGTCGGACACTCAACCGACAGCACCACCCAGGCACCCCTAAGATTTTATTTTATATTTTTTAAGATTTTATTTATTTATTTTTGAGAGAGAGAGAGAGAGAGGGCATGCATGAGCATGGGGGAGGGGCAAAGGAAAAAGTAGACACCCCGCTGATCAGGGAGCCTGATGCTGGACTCAGTCCCAGGACCCTGGGATCATGACCTGAGCCAAAGGCAGATGCTTAACTGACTGAGCCACCCAGGCACCGCCTAAGATTTTATTTTTAAGTAATCTCTATACCCAACGTGGGGCTTGCACTCATGACCCTGAGATCAAGAGTTGCATAGTCCACCAGTTGAGCCAGCCAGGTGCCCCTCCACCACTTTCAATATTGAATAACATTTGCATACTACGCATAGAGCTTTGAAAGCACTTTTTCCTCATTTAATAAATGCTCACTGTTCAGAAAATTCATCATGAACTTCACACTTGCATTTTGGCATTTTGGGGTTCAAATATACACAAGTAAAAAAGAGGTAACAACTGATTTTCAACAAGAGTGCCAAGACAATTCAATGGGAAAAGAATAGTCTGTTCAAGAAATGGGTGCTGAGACAACTAGAAAGCCACATGCAGAAGAATGAAGTTGGACCCCTACCTCACACCACATACAAAAATTAACTCAAAATGTACCAAATGCCTATATTTTAGAGCCAAAACTGTTAAACTCTTAGAAGAAAATGGGGGGTAAATCCTCATGACCGTGAATTGGGCAATGGTTTCTTAGATATGACCCCAAAACACAAGCAACAAAAGGAAAAATTGGAGGAGTGCCTGGGTGGCTCAGTCTGTTGGGTGTCCAACTCTTTTTTTTTTTAAAGATTTTATTTATTTATTTCAGAGAGAGAGAGCATGGGAGAGAGAACAAGCAGGGGGAGCAGCAGAGGGAGAGGGAGAAGCAGGCTCCCTGCTTAATAGGGATTCCTGATGCGGGGCTCTGTCCCAGGACCCTGGGATCACAACCTGAGCCAAAGGTGGACACCTAACTGACTAAGCCACCCAAGCACCCCATGTTGGGTATCCAACTCTTGATCTCAGCTCAGGTCTTTTTTTTTTTAAGATTTTATTTATTTATTTGAGAGAGAGATAGCAAGCAAGAGAGAGCACAAATGGGGAGAAGAGGGAGAAGCAGATCCCTATTTAGCAGGATCCCAATGTGAGGCTTGATTCTAAGACTGTGAGATCATGACCTGAGCTATAGGCAGACACTTAACTGACTGGGTCACCCAGACATTCCTCAGCTCAGGTCTTGATCTCAGGGTTGTGAGTTCAGGCCCCGCATTGGGCTACACATTGGGCATGGAGCCTACTTTAAAAAGAAAGAAAGAAAGGAAGGAAGGAAGGAAGGAAGGAAGGAAGGAAGGAAGAGGGAAGGAGGGAGGGAGGAATGAAGGGAAAGAGGGGAAGGAAAGAAGGAAGAAAAAATATATAAAATGGGTACTATCAAAGTTAAAAATTTTGTGCTTCAAAGGACACTATCAGGAATGTGAAAAGACAATCCATAGAATGGGAAAAAAAAAATTTTCAAATCATATAACCAATAAGGGACTTGTATCTAGAATATATAAAGAACTATTACAACTTAATAAAAAAGGAAAATAACCCAATAAAAAATGGGAAAAAAGGGGTGCCTGGGTGGCTCAGTTGGTTAAGTGTCTGCCTTTGGCTCAGGTCATGATCCCAGGATCCTGGGATCCAGCCCCACATTGAGCCCCCTGCTCAGCAGGGAGTCTGCTTCTCCCTCTGCCTCTGTCCCCCACTCGTGCTTGCTTTCTCTCTCTCAAATAAATAAATAAAATATTTGGGAAAAAAGGGGCAACAGTTCTGAACAGACATTTCTCCAAAAAGATGTACAAATGGCAATAAATACATGAAAAGATGCTGAACATCATTAGCTATCAGGGAAATGCAGACGAAAACCACAATGAGATACCACTTCACACCCACTAAGATGGCTATAATCAATCAAAAAGACGGATAGTAAGTATTGGCGAGGATCTAGAGAAATTGGAACTCACATATATTGCTGGTGAGAATGTAAATGGTACAGCTGCTTTGAAAAATAGTTTGGAAGAGCCTCAAAAGGTTAAAGAGTTACCATATGACCCAGTAATTTCATGCTGAGGTAATACACCCAAGAGAACTGAAAACATATGTCCACACTAGAACTTGTACGCTAATGTTCATAGCAACGTTAGCTAAAAAATAAAATAGGAAAAATGTGGAAAAAACCCAAATGTACATCAACTGATAAGTGGATGTGATTTATCCATACAATAGAATGTTATTTGACCATAAAAATTAAATTCTTACACATGCTACAACATGGATGAACCTTGAAAACATTATGCTAAATGAAATAAGTCAGTCACAAAGGACCATGTACTGTATGATTCAGCTTATAGGAAATGTTAAGAATGGGCAAATCCATACGAAGAGAGAGAGAGAGATTAATGGTTGCCTAAGGCTGGGACCATTGGAGAGAAATGGGGAAATGGCTGCTTTTATAAAAGGTGTAGGTTTTCTTGTTGGGGTGATGAAAATGTTCTAAAATTGGTTGTGGTAACTGTACAATTTTGTGAACATACCCATAGAATTGCAAAAAAAATAAAAAATTCGGGGCACCTGGCTGGTTCAGTCAGTGGAGCATGAGACTCTTTATCTCCCGGTTGTGGGTTCGGCCCCACGTTGGGTGTAGAGATTAGTTAAAAATAAAATCTTTTAGGGCGCCTGGGTGGCTCAGTTGGTTAAAGACTGCCTTCGGGTCAGGTCATGATCCTGGAGTCCCGGGATCGAGTCCCGCATCGGACTCCCTGCACAGCGGGAACTCTGCTTCTCCCTCTGACCCTCCACCCTCTCATGTGCTCTCTGCTCTCTCTCTCAAATGAATAAATAAAATCTTTTTTTTAAAGATTTTATTTGAGAGAGAGAGAGAATGAGAGACAGAGCACGAGAGGGAAGACCCGAAGGCAGTCTTTAACCAACTGAGCCACCCAGGCGCCCAAATAAATAAAATCTTTTAAAAAAGAAAAGAAAAAGATAATAGCAAACATCGCAAGACTTGAAAAGGTTGTATTTATAAATCTCACGGCTGAGACTGAGTTGTCAAAAGTCTAAACTCATAACTAATGGAAGCTGGGAGTTGAATCTTACAATGATTTCGAACTTCGGAATAAAAAAAAAATGAACTCAATATCTGATGCAGAAAAAGATGAACTTCTCTGCCTGCAAAGGAGAGCTGTTCTTGTAAGGCACAATCCACAGTCTCCCTCAACAAAGGCAGATCTGCTGTTATATAATGTTTTGGGAAGCCTTGCGTTGGCGGATTGGAGGTATTTCAGAAACGGGAGAACCCATCTCCCTATCTCGACCGACTTCCAGCTCTGTTAGTGTGGTCACCAAGGCAGCTGAAGACCCAGCTAACTTCTGAAGCCTGGTCATAGGAGCGAGGCACTTGCTGATTGGCTGTTGTCTAAAAGCGTGGAGCTGTCAATGATTGGCTGACTTTCAGAAGCTTGGGGCTGTCATTGATTTACTAACTTTCAGAAGCATAGTTACTGGAGTGAAGCTGTTGTTGACTGGCTGATTTTCAGAAGCAGAGCCACTGGAGTTAAGCTGTCGCTGATTGGCTGATTTTCAGAGCTTGTGTTTGGATGCGAAGTTATCTCTAAATAATGGTGGTTACTTGTTCACGACTTGAAACTTGAGCCAAGAAAAGTCCTTTTTTGAATATGAATAATAAGTACTTTAATTTCTAGTCCTTTCTTTTGGTCTTCCCTCAGCTAAACCTGCTGGAAGAACCATAGGGATTATCCAGATATTTTTAGTTGCGGAGGTAGGACATTTCAACTAGCGTTGCAATTTAAGTGATTTAAGCTCAGATTGCCTCGGTGGGAAAATAACTCTAAAATTTTTGTAATTGACTGCAAAAAGATGAATACAGGGCATGTAAGGCATCCTGAAGTCAGTACGGGACACAAGACAAAATCAAAACACGTCCTGCGTAAGCGAATAACCCTAACAACTAAGTATTTCCCCCGTTTCACACACGAAAAGACTGAGTCTCGATGGGATTAGGTTTCTTTTACAAGACCCTGCAGTCTGCAACAGGTCCAGACAGGATCTGAACAGTAAAAGCAGGGATCCTCCTGGAACCGATGAGACCCTGACGCCCATGCCCTGCGCATGAGTGTGAGCGCACCGCTAACCTGAGGTCGACTAGGAATCGGCTGGATGTCTGAAGGGAGGGTGCGCAGTTGATTAGCAGTGGGTGAAGAAAGAGTAGCAAGGCACCCGCCTGGGAGATCTAGGGAAGCGAGACCGGAACGTGGGAGCCGCTGAGGGCCCGGGACCTGACTGCCGCAGCGGAAGCCTTGGCTGGAGGCCGAAGCCGGCAGAACGGGGCGGGGCGAAGCAAGGCCCCGCCCCCGGGCGCGTCCGCGTGCGTGGCTGGGGGTGCGGCAGAGAGCCCCACTCCATGATGCGGGGCCTGAGCACAGGGCAGAGCCTCGGCGTGGAAACCTTCATCCTGGGGACCCGCGCTCCCAACGTCCGGCCAGGCTGCGTCGCAGCTTAGGGAGGGCGCGGCTCTGCGGCGGTGCGCCCACCCCCATCCCAACGGGTTCCGACGCCCCCATCCACGATCCTTGCGCGCGCCCGGCCCCGTCTCCGCCCCGACGTGCCCCCGCGCGCCGCGCCCCCCGCCCACCCGGCACGCCCCGCCGCCCCGCCCGGCCGCAGCGGGCCTGCAGCTGCCCCGCGGGCCTGAGCGACCCTCGCCGCGGCAGCGTCCTCCTCTGCCGCTCGCCGCCATGGACGTGTACCCCCCGCACCGGCTTGGGTTGCCCCGCGCGCGGTCCCCCGGCGGCTCCGCTCGCGGGTCGCCCTCCGTCAGGTACGTGGGGCCGAGGCTACAGAGGGGCGGCCCGGCCGGGGCTTGCGGGCTGTTGGGGTCGGGCGACGCCTCCCGCCGCAGGGCGTGGTCCGACATGGCTTCCTTGCAGATGGTTTTCCCTAAACGGCTGCCTGAGGGACGTTTCCCCAGGAACTGCGCCCTGTGTAGCGGCTCCCACAATGGCTCCCCTGTAGACGGCTCCTCCGTGGAGACCCCCTCTTATGACATCCCCGTCCCTGTAGGTTTCTCCCAGGAAAGGTTCCTCTGTGGAGAGAACCTCGGCAGTGGGTTCTCTTTGCGTAACTCACATGCCTTCCACTTAGAATATTTCCCCCAGAAACGGCTATCTGTGGAGACCCCCCCCAAAGTAGCTGCTTTGGGTAGAACCCCCGAATAGGTTTCTCCAGAAACGGTTTACCTATGATTTCCCCATACAGTAGGTCTCCTCTAGGGCCTTCCCCCTTGACAGCATCATCCCTAAAGAGTGCCCCCCTCCCGCCCCCTACGTACATACACGCTGACAGCATCTTCCCTCTTGCGCGTTCCCCCAGCCTGCATCGCGATTCTCCGTCCTTCCACAATAGGGAGCTCAGGTTGGGGGGAGGCGCAGGAGAGACAACTAACTGGATGAATAGGAAAAAGAGGCCTAGAACCCCCAAAATTGGTGGACCCCAAGCCCCTGAGGAATTGGCGGACCCTAAGCCCCTGAGGCTAGAGACAGAGCCCCTGGGTGCCTCGGGATGGGGAGGGTGATAATGGGGAGGGTCCCCGCCCCTTTTCGTTATAGGAAGACGCGTTTCCGATTTCTGCTCCCAGTGCCTTTGGGGCTGACCTTGATAGTCTGGGCATTGTTTGCGATGGAGCTGTTATGAGGCCGCTAGCAGAGTGTGGAGGTTGGCATGAAGGAGCATTTGCGGCAGAGATCGTTGAGAGAGGAAGAAAGAAGAGGGAGAGAAGTGGGCTTTGGGATCTGCTAAACTGTCATTAAACCAGAAGAGGGTTTTTTTTTTGTTTTGCTTTGCTTTTTCTCTATTTTAATAACTTAGCAAAGCAAATATGTTGTTCCCTTGAAAGGAGATTGTTAACTTATACGTCAAAATGGTTCTTCTTGTATCCTTGTTATGGTACTTAAGGCATTGTATTTTTAACTTTTTCCTCGCCAATCTGTTTTTTTGTTTTGTTTTGTTTTGTTTCTGCTTTGTTTTAACAAGAACAAATTCATGGAGAGCAAGAACTAAATCTTAAAATCCTGTCCCTCGTTTACTTCTTGGCATTCCTTCCCCCACCCCTGTTTGTTGAATGAATAAAGGTTGGGAGAGGTAGGGCTAGATACCCATGGTTGCATTTGGGAGTCCTAATTTGCTTCTAATTTAGCAGGTGACATTGGTTGAATTCCTGCTCTGCTCTTTAGTGGAATTCCTTGTGTTCTAAGTGTTTAGCTGCTTATGGTAACCATCTCCAATCTGTCCTAACATTTCTGGTAGCCACTTTCACTGTTAGAAAGTATTTGAACTTTGTGCAGAATAGAAAACTGCACAGATAACTTCTTTTTTTTTTTTTTTTAAGTAGGTTCCATGCCCACCGTGAGGGTTCAACTCACGACCCTGAGATCAAGAATTGGGTGCTCTACCGACTGAGCTAGCCAGGTGCCCCTGCGCGAGATACTTAGAATTTGGAGCAGCCATCCATTAAATCTAAGCTCCAAATAGATTTGGGGTTCATCCCAGATCATTTTGAGCTTAGGAATCTTGAGTCTTTGAAACTTTTAAGAGAAAAAAGCTTCCCAGTGAAATCCATCTCTAAAATAACTGCTGCCTTCCTTGTTTCTAGGAACATGGCAGTGCACAACATTTTTAAAAAATAGTGTTTCTTTGTTAAATTAATGTTGGCTAACTTTATTAATCGTAAACTCTGAATCTTAAAACAAGTGGTTTGAGTGAAACTTGTTGGTCTTCAGACAAGTGATAATACAAGGAACCCCAAGGCCTGTTTTACCTTTGTTAAAAGAAAATGAGTCAGGGTTCTCTTCCCTTACCCTACTTCTACATAACTGAACATGCTTTTCTTACCCATTCAAGCCTTTTCCTGACTTTTGACATTGAATGGCAGGTATGGGCTCAGCACTTTCCTGTCACCCATATTTGGATTCTTTGCAGCACTGAGTGATGAAAGAGGCAGGCCTAACTGGTGAAGTTACATTCCTAAAGACCTATAGATAGTACTTTGCAAGTGTGTGGTTCCCTTCTAGCAATGGAGTTCATTTTCACAGATGGGGAATAGAGATCAGGAGTTAAAATGCTGTTGCTTAGAACTAGAAGCTGCTTTTTCAGGATGTGGTAGTCATCAGTGCTGCTCATCAGCTATTTTTGGTTTCCACCTCCTGGGCATGTGGTATAATTATACTTGCTTGCCCCCTTGAAGTTGGGTATGGCCTTATGAGTTGCTTTTGGTTAGTCAGTGTGTTCAGGAATGATGTGTATTCCTTCATGGTAAAAGCTTCTGGTGTATAATATGCCACTATCTTTCCCTCTACTGTGGTGACTGTTGGTGTTGCAGGTAGTGGCTAATCTATCAGTCTGGGACTCAAAGCAAACTTCCAGGTGACTTATGTTTGATATGCAGAGCAAGTAGTAAACCTTCATTGTTTCAAGCCACTGTGATTTTGGAGTTCTTACCAAGTAACTATCTTGACTTGTACTAAGGAACCAGTGGAAGTAGCTGAAATAATGCTTTCCTACTCAAGAATCTCTTTCTGCAGAAGGACCTGATCCTGCTCAGGACCTGTTTATCAGTTTAAATTTTACTCCTCTTTATACAAATAATCCAACATACACTGGGCTAGGTGTTGTGAGACAAATAAGGTAGGCCACTGCCCTCAAAGAGCTCCTTTATAAGTGGAAAGAGACAAAAACAGGACAAATCATAAAGCAGAGTGTTGAGAAATAAGTACTGAGGAAGAAATAGGGCTGAAGGAACAATAATGTAAGAAGGCATAGTCAGTTTTGAGCTCAACTGTTGGAAGAATGAAATTGCCATTTACTGATACTGGGAACACTGGAATTAGAGCACTTTTGTGGAGAAAATAAGAGGTCAGTTATCTGTGCAGTTTTCTATTCTGCACAAAGTTCAAATACTTTCTAACAGTGAAAGTGGCTACCAGAAATGTTAGGACAGATTGGAGATGGTTACCATAAGCAGCTAAACACTTAGAACACAAGGAATTCCACTAAAGAGCAGAGCAGGAATTCAACCAATGTCACCTGCTAAATTAGAATTTGGCCTTATTCATTTTGAGTTGCCTAATAGATATCCAAATGGAGAGATTGGATAGGCAGTTTGGGTATATGAATCTGGAGTTCAGGAGAAAGACTGGGACTGGAAGTAGTACGCTGATGACTCCCACATTTTTATTTAAATCTTTGAGACTGGATAGAGATCCTGGGAGCAAATGTAGATAAAGAAGACCAACATCCAAGCCCTGGAGTATCCTGTCTACGAAAGACAGTGTAGCAATTGTTTCCAAATTCTGATGGAAAGTGGCTTCCTACCTCTGAGATGGAAGAAGAATCCAGGACAGTCATGGAAAGCCAAATAATAAGTACCATTGATGGGCTGATGAGGACTAAGAATAGACTATTATATTTGGTAACATAGAGATCATTCGTGACCTTGACAAGAACAGGTTTGGTGCAGTGGGTTCAAGAGAAAATGGGAGGAGAAGAATTGAAGACAGTGCATATAGATTGTCATAATTATGTTGTTTCAAGGATTGAAGAGCAGGGCAACAAGGCTTTGGCTATGAGAGAGAGCAGAATTAATAGGGCCATGGCTATCAGAGAAAGCAGAGAAATAAGGCTCTGGTTGGAAGGGTAGAAGTGTTAGAGTTCTTTTGTTTTTAGGTGGACAGACATTATAGCTTCCCTAAAACATTTGAGGCTGATGGGAATGATGGAGTACAGAGAGGAAAATTGATAATTAAAAGAAGGGACAATTGCAGGGGTGAAGTCCTTGAGCAGGTGAGAGGGAAGGGGATCTAGGACATAAATGGATATATTGGCCTCAGGCTGTATAGGTGCATGGACAGTTCATCTGTGGTGAGTATATAGACCCAAATGCTAGTGTGTTGGTAGCTTGGTGGTGGGAGAAAGTGAAAATTCTTTTCTGTTTATTTCTATATTTGCAGTTAAATAAAAGGCAGATCTTCAGCTAAAAATGAAGAGTAGAGAAGGTGTTAGAAGTTTGAGAAGAAAGAAGGTGTAAAATCCATCCAGGAGAGTTGGGGAAAATGAGTTAAATAAGGAAATGTTTTAGGATTGCCACGCAGCTACAAGTGCCCATTTGCTGTTTGTTGTCATAAATTTAAGGTGAGACCCAGTTAGCATGGTTGTATGCCTTTCCTTCAGCTATGTTGAGCTGTTTGGACATGGACACTGTGGAAGTGTGTGGCTCAAGTAGGATAGAGGACATCATTGGAGGACAGGAGTAAAGGAACTGAGAGGTAAGGATAGTGGGAGGATTACCTGTCTTAGTGCTCACTGAAATGATCGTGAGTGAAGATGGGAGCAGTAATAGCAAAAAAGATAGTGATCGAGAAGCTAAAAATCTTTAGGGAATGTGGAGAACTAAATGACCCAGACGTTTGTAGGTATTTGTAACAAGAAGGGCTAGTGGGTGGTTATTGTTTGATGGCAAGAAGAAATCAGCCAAAAGAAAATAAAGCAAGAAGTTAAATAAATTAATTAATTAATTGATTGATTTTCTCAAAACCAGAGGACATGAGTTTCCAGATCAAAAGGACTTTCCAGTAGTCCAGCACAACTAATTTAAAAATATCCATGCCAAGGTAGAACAACAAAAATCACATAGATAGGGTCAGGAATCAGAGGATTGCAGCAAGATTGGGAACTGGAAGATAATGGAGAAGCAGTGCCTTCTGAAGGAAAATGGATTCCTTCCCAGAATTCAGTATCCATCCATACTCTCAAGCAGGTCTGAGGGAT